ATCTTCCCAATAAGTTTGTCAGAAGGATTGTGCTTCAATGGGTACATATCAACAAATTGCTGTCGAGTTCCATTTTGTGCCTGTGCACCTTTACTTCAAAAATAAGGCTGCACGTGTGTTGGTGCTTTTTGGGGTGTAGGTTCATTATATAGCACCTTCCTACTGCTTGATAATTAACCCCTCTGCATCCCCTTTAGTGTCCTAGGCTTCTTTCTGAAGGATCATTTAGTTGTAAAAAGTATTGTCTTACTGTGCATAAAACAGCTGCTCAGAGCTTTGGGATCTCACTCTATTAAGTGGCCATCCAGCACCACTTATATACTGGGATGGTGAATGCTCTAGGGGTAAATCCATTTGTGGTCCATGTTGTTACTGTTTCCAAATGCATTCTTTAATACTAGAGTAATCTCACTATATTGTACCTTACTGCTTAAAGATAAGACAGGAAACTGGGAAGGAGGAGGAAATTCTAGGTGTTGGCTGACCACAGAGGTGGGGGTCATGCTTTAGAATTTGTGAGATATTTAACCTTTAAGCATTCCTCATTTAATTGTAAGAAAGCATTCAGAAATAATGACAGCCCAATTTGTATTTCAAAGCACTAAATTTAACTTTAGTATTGCCACCAGAGGGCAGCATGTTACATGAGCTGGCAGTGCGGAACCTGATATATTCTGACTTTAAGCAAAGATGAACTTGTAAAATCTGAGTTTTGAAAAGTGTCAGTGATTCATTTACAAGTTTTGCCTGTTAAGTTCAGCTTGTAGCTAAGTCCTGGAATATTCGGCATGGCATTAGCTTTCTGAGAAAGAGAAGTGATGTTATTGACATCTGCCAAGTGAAAACTAAAGGTAGCTGTTCTATAACTTGCATTCTGGTGCCCTTAGCTTATTATTACTCCTGCATACAGCTTCCATAAGACAGAGGTATCGGGAACTTACTTCCTTACTTCCTGCGTTGTTTTTACCAGTTACAGAATCAATTCTTCCCGGTTTTGTCTCAAGGGTGGTAAACCTATGTTACTCGTTTACTTTGTGTGATAAAATGGATGTCAAAGTTGATTTAATTCTATGTTCAGTGGTTTTAGGATTAATTTATCTCAAATGCAGTATCTGTACTGTTTGGTAGTTGGGTTTTTGTGTTTTGGGTTGTTTGGGTTTTGTTTTGGGGTTTTTTTGAGACTTGACTTCTTGGTTCCCATGTAGCAATATGATCTAGGAAACTCCTTATACAAACCATCTAAGGTGATACTATACTGGTATATTGGGACTCAAAAACCTCCTTCGTTAGCTTTGCAGTAGGTGCAGGTGTGACACAACAGGCAGATGGCATCTTACATGACTTGCTTTCCCACTTGTACAGTAATGTAATTTTCCTCGGCAGGGTATTACTGTTATTTGAGAACCTAGTTATAATGTGAACACAATTGAAAAACATGTTATATTAAAACAAATCAGAGTAACTTGTATACAACCTTTTTTTTAATGCTGTAGTACAGATACATTCAGTAGTCTCATGCATAAAAGCATCAGTAATTTGAGATGTAGAGTAAAACCAAGAGTTAAACATTAAATGTAGACATTTTCCTGAAGTTACTTTGTTTTCTTTAATTTTCCTGAAATGTAGGCTAGAATTTTTATGTTGAAAGTCTAACTTTGCAGTAGGTGCAGGTGTGACACAACAGGCAGATGGCATCTTACATGACTTGCTTTCCCACTTGTACAGTAATGTAATTTTCCTCGGCAGGGTATTACTGTTATTTGAGAACCTAGTTATAATGTGAACACAATTGAAAAACATGTTATATTAAAACAAATCAGAGTAACTTGTATACAACCTTTTTTTTAATGCTGTAGTACAGATACATTCAGTAGTCTCATGCATAAAAGCATCAGTAATTTGAGATGTAGAGTAAAACCAAGAGTTAAACATTAAATGTAGACATTTTCCTGAAGTTACTTTTGTTTTCTTTAATTTTCCTGAAATGTAGGCTAGAATTTTTATGTTTGAAAGTCTAACATACTGTTTTTGCAAAAGTCTCTCTCTTCCTTTTATGAGTAATGGAGGTACTGTGTACTAGGGCCTTGCCATCTTTCAGGTGATTGTGCATAAATCTAGATTGAATCTGGTACTGCCTCTCCTGGGGTGGTGAAAATAAACCTGGATCTGAGCTGATGTGGGGTGGAAGTGCTTGAGTATCTTTGTAGAGTGTTTTAGCAACAGCAGCATTATGGGAACGTACAGTGCAACCGCAGTAGGCTTGGTAGGCAGCCAGCCCAGTCCGTGTGGGCTTACTGGTTGAGGTCTTGTGTCGTGTGGAAGTGGCTGAACTGCACCTGGATCCAAGTTGGCGTGTGAAGTGCTACAGCTGTGTTCTTGCAGTCCCCTGCACATGGTCTAATAAATCCAAACTGGATTTGAGGGGAAACCGCTGTCTTTCTGCATCCATGGCTCTGTTAATCTGCAAATGGGATAAACTGCCCATAAATAATTGAGAGTTTATAGTATACTGCATGTTCCAGATAAGAGTTAGAACATGCAGTATTAAAAGAGATTTTTAGAAGTCAATTATACAGAGTTCACCTTCTTGTCCTTGCTAATTGGGGCACTAGCATGGATTGCCAAAATCTGATGTGATATTCTTAAAGCAAGTAGACTGCTGTTTTCAGTAAAGTTCTCGGGTGGTTATTTTGAGTCTGCTTACACTTTGAAGTGTAAGCTAACGTAAAATACATGGATGCAAGAAACGAATGGAAGTCTCAAGGGATGCAAGTCTCTTTTCATGGCTGATTAGTAGTAATTTTTCAGAACCCATACCAACTGAGGAAAACATGAGGTAGATTTATTATATGCTATATTCTTGTCAAACCATTGTTTTCAAATAGGAATTATTTATATGTGACCCAGTGCAGCCTGGCATTTTGCCACGCAGAATAACAGTACGTGCTGTTTTAACACTAATATGTGGTGCACCAGAATCACTGATGGGAATGTGGTAGTCAGATCGTCTTTTCAAGACAACTGAAATGATAGAACTGAGGTGAATGGAATATTGGATTTTTCAGAGCAATGGTTTCTTAGGCAATATGTTTAATATTAAAATAGACTGTACTGAACTCAGCATGCTTTTTTGCTTTGTACGTACATGTGTAATAACTACGTTGAAGGGGGGGGGGATTGAGTGTTGTTAAATCACACTATGGTTTCCAGTGCATTTTACTATTTTTTGTGAGAATAGATGCATTCCTGTGGTGATCTGTTCTTGAGTGTAGCATCCAGAAAATTCTTTATACTCAGTTGTGTTAGTTTGGAGTTTGTAGTCTGTTAAAATGCTAGTTTTGTTGGTCTAAAGTAATTTTCATAGATCTAATATAACTCTCATTAATTCTAAAAGCCTAGGCGTGCTTAGCCAACATCTTCTAGAATTGTTAGAAGTGCCAATTGTTAAGTGCTTGTTTACATGAAGTTATCATAACACATTTTTAAGACTTCAAGTTCTGTTTAATGTCCCATTGAAATAGAAGCAAGCAAGTATTGTCACAGATGCCAGCTGTGTGAATTTCCAAAGTTTGACTTATACCTTTCAGTAGGCCCATGTATGAGGCCATTACAATAATTAGTGTGTTATCAGAAACCAAGATAAGTTTGAATTTTTTTTCTTACATTGAAAACTCCAATTTCTGAGGAGTTTGAATCAATTCGTAGTTGGCCAAAAGCCAATTTTTCTCCTCAACTCTAACGCGTGTTTGAAAAACGAACTCACTTCCTAAGTGCCTTGTGAATCTGCAATGATTAATTCTTCTCATTATTTTGCTGCAAATTCTCATGACCCTCTGTGATGATTCGATCACCCACTTAGAGTTTATGCATATTCATATCTTTCCGCTCCTGCTGCAGTCGTTCAAGTCTCCTTCACTGGCTGTGGTGTGTGCTTGGTGCAGTAATTGAGCTGCAGTAGATTGATTACTCTGGGGAGCTGTAAGGCCTTTAAAGGTGAAAACATATCAGTCCTGTTAATTAGGAAACAAAGCTCTGGTGGCAAGTTCAGCAGTCAAATGCTTCCAGTGTAGAAATGAGGAAAGGTATGATTTGTTCCTCTCCATGAACCCTGTTTACTTTTTTTATATTTGAATTAGATCTGTATTTGCTGTAATAGGCTTGTGCAGAAGGTAGCATATCTTGTATGATTGCATGGTGTTGATATTTTAAAACAAAAAGAACTATATGTTTGATATTGATCGTAATTATTAGCTGCTGTTAATCACCTCTTAAATTATACATTATTTTAGGCATTACTTGTCCTATAAAGTTAAATGAGAGATGAAGAATGGAATCATCGATTGTAAACTTTAACCAAAAACATTTATATCATTCACTTTTTCAGACCTGAATGTCAAAGTCTTTTCTCTGAATTAAAACAACAGATTTTCAGAAATCGTAATAAAACCTGGGGCCTCTCCTTTCTACTATTAAGATGTCTATTGCCTATTGTGTGCAAGATTAATTAAAGAGAATATGTTCCTAAAATTAGGTGAATATTAAATGATAGCATAAGGTTTCATCCAGCAGACAGCATCCTTACATCATCATTGTAAGTACCCTGTGGTTTTATGTTGCTAAGCACTCTAATCTAGAGTGGCCTGTTACAAAGATATTAAGGGTAGGGGAAACCATCTGCCACACAATCTATCCATAAGGGTCAGAAATAAATAATTTAGAAGTCATTTATATATCTTAAAAACCACTTTTTCCCTGTAATTACTGGACAACAGATTGTAGAATACAGATGTTGTGAAAATGCAACCGTTTTTGTAAACGGCATGTGATCCATTGCTACTTCAGGGTAGGTTATAGGATGCTGTTGTCATACCTGTTCCTGCTGAGGTCAGGAAGAAAAGTCTCGCTGAAACAACTGCACATGAGATTGGATGCAAATTAGTGCATCCTACGCCAAAGGATATCACATTCATTGTGTTTGTGGCTTTTTTCCTCTATTTTAGGCATTTATTAACACGGCGAAGGAGATCTACGAGAAAATCCAGGAGGGAGTTTTTGACATTAATAATGAGGTAACTTTTAGTACTCTGAACACTTTTTGTTTTTTAAATGTACAAAAGTCACCTTCCCTAGAAGGCTGGACAGTAAAATATTTCTCTGTTCCATTTGGATATAGAATTGTCTGCCATTGTGATAAAAATGGATTAAAATAAGTGACCCTATCCATCCATGAAGCATCACAAAATAATATAAATCCCCAAAAGAGAAGAAAATCCACTTTCATCCACTTCTCCATATGGTGTCATCTGTTTTCAAAGATAATTTTCCACTATGTAAATGGGGGACCATGTTGATATGCCAGATGCACTCCATGAGCTGTCCAGTGTAGGGGAGGGATTGCTTTGAGAGTTACATAAAAGACTTTTGAAATGTTCCTGGCTTAGGTGGCTGGATTCTGTAGGGAATAAAAGATTAGCCATTTTGCCTATGCACATTACTGAAATTACAGATTACCGGGGCCTGTCTCTTTGCCTGTTTGGGGCGGGGGTGGGGAGGTGGAGCAGGGAGCACTTTTGTAATGCAAGAGCCTAGAAAGACCTATAATGTCTCTCTTGAATTTTGAAATGATTGTGCTGTTGAAAATCTTGAGCAGTTAGGAGAGGGGTTCATGGCCATAGAAAAAGCAGATTCAAATTCATTGGTAGTAAATAGAAATGTTAGGATCGTATAAGCTCTCTGTTAACATTCACATAAAAAGTCACACCACAAAGTTTAAATTTGACAATGTGGTCAGTCCTTTTCTGATGCCCAAATTTGTTTGGTTTTTACCCTGCATGTCCCTAAATATCGTTGCTGAGGTGCTTAGTGAAACCACACGTGAAAATCTGCACCACCACTCTCTGTTCTGTATCCATTCTGTGAATAGGTGGATTCTCTCTCTGGGACTGTTGGTCTGACACCTCTCAAGCATGATAGTCCTTGCAGAATTGTTCAGAGTAGTGAGGGAATTGGCAGGACTCAATTAAATAGCTTCACCTCTTTCTGCTTTTAATATATTTCAACATGAGAAAATTTAGACTATTAAAAATGTTGCTGTTACAACTTCAGGGAGGAAATAATGAGAAACTTCAGTAGTATGCAAAGTATTTGCATTAGGAAACTTGTAGCTAAATAAGACTTGAATAGTAATCCTTCAAAACACTAATTCTGACTGGAAAGTGTGTGTGTGTGTCTATATATGGTGTTTCGGCGAAACACTTCTTAAATTCAGTTTAGTGATGAAAAACTTAAAATTTTCTTTAACACTTTTCCTAAAGAAAATGCATTCAGTAGTGCAATATAAATTGGGCAGCAATCAGAGTGTCTGAAAAAGCATGCTCGTTGTATCTGTCGAGTTTCATATAGTAGCTGACTGCTTTACTGTGCCTTATGGAGCTTTGATTGCAATATGCTGTCAAGAGCCAACAGTCCGTGCTATTTATTTGGCTTTATGCCAAGTCTGGCTCCTTGATTCCTCAAGAAGTTGCTATCAGCCCAGAGGGGGCAAAACCAATGAGCCATAGGGCATGCTTTTTATTAAAGAGGAGTCAAAGAGCGAAAAGAAACCACATCAGCTGCTGTCAATACTGAGCTAGTGCCAGAAACCCCAAGGCTACTACTGTTGCAGAACAACTGCCAAGCACTATAAATCTGAGATTTACTGTGACGCAAAGTTTCCTTAAGAGCTTAATTTCTGAAGCTACTGTATTACTTTTCTCAAAGTGCTGTATTTTTAGGTAAAATCCACTTGAGGGAGTGAGGGTTAAGGTATAAGTGTGATTTTGATGAATGAAAGAGCTACGCTGTGTGTGGGTTCTTGGCAAGTAGCCATGTCTTTTGGGATCATAGAAATTATTGATGACACAGAACACTCGTATGCCCTTAGCCTCTACAGCTGATTCAACAGAGAAAGAAACGCTGTCTAGAGAGGAAAAGTTTTATATTAAACTATTAAACTAACGGAGATTTTGGTTGGAGGGGAGAGGTTGTACATTCCTCGCAAATGCTACGTATTTTTAAAGCCTTATGCCAAGTAGTATTCAAATACAGTTCTTGCTCTGTGTCTGTGTTAGGAGTTGAAGGTACAGAGTTTAACATAGAGATAAAATTTAAATGAGAAGGAAAGCATCTTCCTTTAAATTATATTTAATGGCCAAGGACATGTTGCTAAAGAAAATATATAAACTTTGCTATATTTATTGCATACTTAGGAGAACGTGCTATATGACCTTCTAAAAAAAAAAAAAAG